GTTAAGAGTTATAGCTTGAAAATAGGTAAAATAAGTTTCACTAAGACTTAGAATGTCTAAATTAAAATTAATAAAAAATTGCTTGATTTGTTGGAGTTAGTTAAATGATACACAGCTTTGAACGTTGTGTGTAGCAATTGAAAGTAAATTAGAATTATTAATAGTTAAGAGGAGATTTGCATTAGTAATTTTATGGTTTTTTAATGAAATCATAAAAGACATTCCATTTCTATTTGTTATTTGAGGTTGTAATATCATTAGGAGTTAAGATTCACTTGAATGATAGGACTGATAGTGGCAATCAAATTTCTCATTTCATTTCTAATTTTATTAACTGATAATTCAACAAGACCAATTCGTTGGAAGTTGTCTGTATTAGTGATAGAGGAAATTATTATATCGTTAGGAATAGTGGATGTTTGAGTATCTTGAATCAGTGGTAAAGTATTATCTTTATTTGAAAAATACTTATCATGCAAAAGGAAGACGTAGTTAGGATCAGTGACATATTTAACGTCATATTAGATATTATGCATAATTTCAAGACAATTTAATTGGAAACCTATATCTTTTTCATTCTGTTGGAGTTCAGTTAGGTCATTATTAATAGAAATTATTTTATCGCAAATCGTGATAAGTTTGTTTTCTATATTGTCAAGTCTTTCTTGAACTAGTTTCAAAATATCAGTAACATTAGATGCTACTGGAAGTGATTGTTTGTCATCTTTCTTGTGGGAAACATTTTGAGGACGTTGATGTATGGTGTAAAACTGTTAAATTTATTAAACATTGTGTTTTATGAGAAACAGTAAGGTTTTGGTTTAAATCTATCATAGAGCGATTTGTAGGGATTGGATGGTTTATGATTTGTACAATCTTTGTATTCATATCTAGGAGCTCTGCAGTTTCGACAATGTTTGGTAAATGGCTCCATATAGTACAAAGTTTTTCCTTTAAATTTTTGAGATTGCATTGCTACAGCATCAAGATCTTCGAGAATTACAAAATTTATAAAAGCATATGATCTGAGTTGATATTGTTGATCATATGGAATAAAACACGTTCTGGCATTAATATATGCAAGAAAGTCATAGTTATTATAGGTCAGTATTAAGAGAAATATCGATAAGTTTTAGTTCATATGGGAACGTTTTCAGTAAAATCAAGTTATGAGGCATAGTAAATCATATGATCTGTAATGTGATTTTACTGGAAACGCTCCCATATTATTGTCGTAAAGCAATTTGTATTGGATTAAGATCAGTTGATTCAACACTTAGAGCGATTTCGAAAAATTTGATTGACCAAAGTTTGTTGTAGAATGGTTTGATGATGTCAGTATTTTTAAATATGATGAAGGCAATCTATCATAGGCCTCTGATGATCATTAAAAATCTAGTGATCGCTTTATATCTGGAAAAATAGTTTCGTAACACATCAGATTTAACAAATAAGAGAATATCCGATACTTTAAGGGTCCTTTCCTTTTCAGTATCTTGTTTGAGTTTTTTAGCTGCAAGGTCAATGATAGTAAATATAGAATTGTGTTATGTTTCCTGTACTTTTGTGATAATATATGTCAATTCTTCTATCGAACAGAAATAGACTGTGAATTTTTTAAATTTGAAAACTTAAAGTGAAGCCTTGATAACCATTGGTTCTAACAAATAAGAAATTAATAAATGTGTGTTTTTCTGCAATTATGTTTCCTTTTATGTCTGATGCGTTATTATTTGTGAAAAAATATGTAGAAGTAATAATGATGTTGTAAGAAACCCCTTATTTTTCTTGGTCATATAACCCTTCGTTTTGTTTAATTTCATCAAACTAAGATCGTTTTTGTTTTTCTTTGTCAGTGATCAGGAGAATATATTCAAAACCAGTATCTTCAAACATGTTATCAATATTATTAGAGGCGTGTATAGAGTCATTTGCGATCTGTTTTAGAATATTAATGTTGAGAAAATTGGAGTTTGAAGTTATTTTAACATCCATTTCCAAGGGCACGTTATTAGAAAAAATATTGTTAGCAGTTGATTATTTGGTTAAAGGTTCGTTATTGTTCATTGTCATTATGTTTAAAATAATTTTTTCGATTTCTGGGTCAGTTAAGTCTTTTGAAGAAATATTGTTTTCGGTTGTTTTTAAAAAGAAGCTTGAGTCGATAAAGTCATAAACTGAAGTATTTCATTTGTTTTGTTAATAAGTTTTTTTAGGTTGTTATTTGGAGAAAGTCGCTTTAGTAACTAGCATAATTTTTATTTTTATTATTTTTTTTAATAAACTTGACATTTGGGAGAAAAAGTTTTTTAATTTTGGATCAGGCTATCTTAATATATTTGCAATTGAATTTCAAAATCTGGACTTATTTATTTAAAGTAGAATTATTGATTTATAATTTCTGCCAATAATACAATTACGATTATCTCAAGATTGGATAATCTGAATTAATAAATGTTAGCTCCTTAGATTCGTCTAGTCACGAAAAATTGAATAATAGTTGTTTCATACGAATCAGAGTGATATTGACCTAGATCATACATCTTTTATTTTTTTTGTTTTTTCTATATATAAAAAATCATGTGATATAACGTTATTTCGACTATTTTGACTTTTCATTTTGACTTTGGGTTTTTATTTCAACTTTATATATAATTGTGATTATATATAAAATGGATTACAAAAAACTGTTTCAGAAACATTAAATATTATTTTATTAGATAAAATAAGGCATTTTACATAAAAATCATAAAGATATATAAATATATATAGTATTATCCAAATGTGCAAACTAAGCAGATTGAAACACCTAATTAGAGTGAGTAAAGTTAGATTTAGCTCAATTCATTTGATGGTTCAATAAAAGAGTCAATAGGTAGATATACTTAGTATACATGATTTAAAGTTGCGCTTCAGATGTATTCGTTTATAATTTGAGTTCTTGAGTTGATCAATATAAGATTTAAACAACTCACTTAATCTTTGACTTTAAACATTTGAAACCCTAGAAGATAGTTTTGCTCCAATTACTAAAAATGAAGTTTATTTACACTTGGTAGAAAAATTCACAGATTATGGTTAAAAGATAATTTTATTAAAGAATAAAGAATATATTTGGATTAACCAAGACCCTTAGTTGTCAGACCATAGTCATAATTACATAATAAAATTTGAAGGTTATTTATACTAAAAGTATGACTAAAAATTCATTATATAACAACTAGCAAAAATTACTTAATTTTTGCAATGTTCAATATTCTATCTAATAATTACTAATTATTATATAATAGATTCTATAATGTTTTTCACTTAATAACCTCTCTTGATCTTTCCATTTCCTTCCATCTCTTGCATTATCCTTAAATCATCATTACTTTGTTCTTGCATAATATCATAATTTAATTATAATTGTATAATTATTACTTAGCCATTACACAATATTTTTCCCATCTTCTTCACGCATTACATCATTGATTGTCCTTCTTTTCTTGAACAATTTTAGCAAGATCTGCAATGATCATTTGCTGCACATTATTAATAAAAAGTGTATTACAGAAAAATTCCTTATATTTACTTAAAAAAATATAAATCACATAAAAAAGTTTCTGATGATATAATTTATTAGATTATTTAAAAAATAAAAAATAAATAAAAATTTTTTAATAAATTTTTAAAAAATTAAATATAATTCTAATTAATATTATATATTATATTAACCAATCAAATTTGTTTTAGGTCATAATTTTATATTATATCATATGGAAGCTTGTCAATAGAAAAAGAGAAAATCTAAAAAAAATTAAAATCTTACTTCATATGCTAAATATGATTTTTTAGTAAAATAAGTTTAGATTTAACTTTAACTTATAAAAACTTTTTTTAGATTTCCCTCTTTTCTATTGACAAGCTTCTATATATGAAAGGTTTGCTAAAAAAAAAATGGGGTTTTAAGCATTTTGTATTAAAAATTTAACTTTTATTGCATTTTAATCTAACATCAAAAATTAAAATGCAAATTTTAATAAAAAATGCTCAAAGCTCTATTTTCCTAGCAAACCTTTCATATATTTGCATTATATTGTTATACAAACTAACAAGCAAAAATTCATTCTTTTTAGATAATTAGTAACTTTAACAATTTTTTTTTAACACAATTTTGAATTATAATTTCATTTTTTTTGTTTTTTTTTAACAAAATCAACTTTTATTAAAAATTAAAAAATTTTTTTTTCATCAGTAAAAATTTCCTATTAGTAAATATTAAATTTCAAAATCCTTTAATTATTTTTTCTAAATAAATAATTTCAAAACTTTTTTTTTTCTGATATAAAATAAATAATAACCACTAAAAAGCAATTTTTTTTACTACACTACACTTAATAATGACAGTGATTGATATTAACTATAATAATTAACTTCTTTTACATACTAAATTATTGCTCTATACTATTCGTCAAAATTTCGAAAAAAAAAGATATTTTTTTTTTATAACAAAAATTGAAGTCATTAAACTAAAAAAAAAAAAATTGCCAAAATGAAGCGAAAATTCTAGACATAATAATTTACAATCCTAGAACTTAATGAAAAAAGAAATGAATGGAATAAAATTAAATATACATTTGATAAAATATAAGTTATATGTCCTTCTGTTCTTCACATAAATCAATACAAAAAAAAATGCAAAGAGCCAAATATCGCATTGTTTTATCTACGGAATGCATATATCGTGAACAAGATTGAACAAAAATAAATGCTATATATATATAGAAAAATATATATATATAAAGAAAGAATAGAAAGAATAACCCTCCGGAATAAGTAACAAATGAAAAAAAAATGTCTTAGATTTACATTATTTAAAAGTCCATTGAAAGAAAGAAAAAAAAATGTCCAAAATTGTAAAAAAAGTTCATTCTCAATTATTGAATTCACAGTATTTTTATAATTATAATCACAAGGGACAAAAGGATTGAATATGACCTAATTCTATCAGCCCTAATTTAACTACCACTGTCTACGATCATTGACATTCTCTTTGTTGCTTGTTTCTTCAACATACCCGCGGGATCATTATATGTAGCACCAATTGTACTCTTTGGTCTGGGTCTAGCTGGGGCTGTATTTGATCTTCTAGTTACAGGTGGAGGATGTGATGAAGCGGTTGATGGTTTAATTGTTGTTGATTTCGTTGATGATCTTATGGTCGATTTACCGTCTGATTTCTTAGCTTCAGTTGATGACTGTGTTTTACCTTTTGGTGGAGTTGTGGGGGGAACACCCAACCGTCCATTAATAACATATGATATTTGTGATGGTTCAGGTGTAGTAGGTGTAGAAACGGAAGAAGATTCACTTGAAGAACTAGATACACTACCACTTCTCTGAGTAGCATTTTCAAGTTCGCCAAGAAAGAGTGATTGTCGGCGTGAAGTTTTATCTTCAGATTTGCTTGGTCTATGACCATTCGTCGTACCTGTAGAGTTTGACACATATAACGACGTTCTTCTTGAATTCGTGGATTTGTTATCCGTTGATCTCGTTCGAGTAGTTGGACTAGTGGGTGATAGTGATTCCACCGGACTCGATAAGTACATGCTACTTCGTTTCCGGGACGCTGTAGTAATTTCTGATCTGGCTGGAGAAACTGCACGTGACGAGGCGACGGAACGTGCTGGCGAAACCGATCGACTGGGTGGTAGTGCCTGACTATTCCTTCTTGATCTAGATGGTGACAATCCAAACCCAGAAGGTGATGTTGACCTGCTAGCAGCTATTCTAGGGGCTTGACTATTTCTGCGTGACCGCATTCCATTTGATGTAGGAGATGCCGGTCGACTAGGCGTTGGTCTTGACGATTTTCGCTGATGGGCGTCCCCATTTACGGAATGTGTCGGTGAAGCTGGTCGACTTGCCGATACCCTTAAAGTAGCGTGACTATCTTTACGTTTAACTGAATTTTTAACATTCTCCTTCTCTTCCTTTTTGGTTGAGTTTTGTTCGAAGCCAAAGAACATTTGGTTTACAATACGTTCTGAAATTTCCGCTTGCTGTGATAAAAATATAAAAAGTGTTAAAGTATTTTCAATGATAAACCGGTTGTAAAGAGATAATAATAAAAAATCCTTCTCTCACCAAAGTATCCAAATAACGTTTGCTTTCATGCATAAAAGGCTTTCGCTCAGCTAAAATATATTAAAACGTCAAGCATGTCGCAAAGAATAGTAAAATATTTAAAAGAATTAGTAAAAGTGATGTAAACGTACCTTCTTCGTATGTCAAACAAGCATTAATCAATTGATCTTCTATTTTGACCAAGTTGGGCCAACAAGATTTACGCCATTTCTCCTCTTCCATTAAACGAAATGAAGCTTGGAAGAGACGACGTGGGTCCGAAGCCTTTTTCTCAAACTCAATCATTTTCTATAAAGGAAGAGTGAAATGATTAATGTTAATTAAAGTAAGACAAGTTAGAATATATTATACGTACCTCGATCAAAGCACGTCTATCCAACATCCATTTATAGATCTTGGCACATTTGGCATAAAGTTCCTGCAAACGAGCAACTTCTTGAGTAAGTAACTCATAAACTTCTTCAGCGGAATCGACTAAAAAAAAGCATATAAATTGTCGTTATTGATAATCAAAGGCATTGAAGAGGAGAGTTATTCCCGCAAATTAATTTAATCAAAAAGTATTTTGACTTACGTGCACGTAAACTGGCAAAGAATTCATCACGTTCGTATTCAGGAACCAAACATTTGTCCCAAAGTTCACCCAATTGTACGGTATATTCATCAATAGCTTTTTGAATGATGGCACGCATAATTTCTCGAAGTCGTTCAAACTCCTCCGTTAACTAAGATTGAGAGAACAAAATCAGTATTAAATCCATTAAATTTATTTTTGTAATATATCCGATATGTTTGTAAATTTTCCCTTACTTTATCCAAATATTCTTGATCCAGTGAATCGATCAATTCAATTCTCTCTGCCTCCGGAATACTCAATTCATCATAAAGGTTTTTGATGCCTCGTTGCATCATGGCCATCTTACCTCTACGTTCTTCATAATCTTTACCTAAATTGGTCAACTTATTCTTTAAGATTTCCAGATATTCGGGTCTTAATTTTATTCCTTCGGGAAGTTGTGGCGTGTAATAAACGAAACCTCGTTTTTCTAAATCTAACTCTAATTTTTGTTGCTCTAACTCACTATTATCTCTATTTTCAATGTCCTTGTTTTGATTATTTACTTCGCTTTGTAATAACGCGTTGTAAAGTTCTTTTGGATTTGTTTTATCTAAAAATAACTGAGCTAAAGCTGTATCTATTTCATCTTGTGGGTTATAACTAAGCATTTCCCAATAATAATGAAGTTTGATAGCCGAATTTTCAAATGATTCGCGTAGTCCACCCTATAAGGTCAAATTAGGGTTAACATATTGTATTGATCATCCCAAATCAAATATCTCTCGATTAAAATAAATACTTTACCACTTTACTAGCATATTCATCATATTTACACCATAACTACATCATGGGGATTGAAAATAAAAAAAAAATCTCAATATTACAATTACAAAAAAAAACAAAAGTTCAAAAAAAATTTTTTTATCTAAATAGTTATACAAACCGGACGAACTACAGCCGTGCTTAAGTCGGTTTCAAAAACCTTAATGATAAAATCACACATTAGTTTACAAAGTTCATGGTAATGGTAGATAGATTTCATTACGCATTACCTCTGCTGGTGGAACTACATAGCCGGTATCAAGTTCCTGACTAAAAACTTTAAGTCCGGCCAACCACTTATCGACGTTAGATCTCGTGACTTCGTACTCCTAAAGAGGTTAGATCAGAAAAACAAACAAATTATTCTCATTAAAAAGTACATCAAACGCATTGTTAGTCACTTTTGCAACTGTAACAGGAGTAACACCCACATGAAACCCTGTCCGTCACCAAACAACCTCCCTGGTAATAAACACAAATAAACCAATTTAATTAACCAACCTCTTTTAACGCATTTCGGATAATTGCGAGCTCGTCACGCGTGGCATTATTAACTTCATAACTTAGTAAAGCAGCATGATCGATTAATGTATCAGCCTTTCGACCAAATATATGACAATATTCCTCGATTTCCGTCTTAACAGACGCAAAAAAAAGAGGACAAAAAATTATTTTCCGAGGAAATTGGCTAAAGATATGAAAATAATAAGACGATAACCGTTACGTACGAGCATATCTTCTAATTCAGCAGAAAGAGTTGACTTCCATAAAATTTGTTCTTGAATGAGTTTGTCAAATTCTGTCAAAATCGTCTAATAAATTTCAACGAAACGGGCATATATTTAGCATGTTAATTATCTTTTTTCGAGGGCTCGCTTATTAACTAACCTGTAATTTATCTCGGGCCCACTCTCCATGATCTGAGTAGTCTTTCCCCGATGCTTCGTTTGCGAAACGATAATCTTGCCATAACACCTTTAGCTGGTCAACTTTGAAATGGAGGGCATCCATATTGCTCTATTATTTTTATTTTTATTTTTTTATTCAAAAGACTATGGGTCTTTGAAGCCCGTGTTTTTTTCAAACCACTTTTTTATAGAAATTATTAGAGGGAGTCTATGAGGGTAGGTAAGTTGAAAGGAGAGGAAAAATCTTTTCAAAAATTTTTTAAAAATTTCCTTTCAAATTAATGATGGCTATGAAGAATTATATTAATTGTTTTAGGAAAAAAAAAAAAAAAAAAAAAATGTAAATAATATATTATTTTTATTTTATGTAAATATAAATCAAAAAAAGGAGTGTGCTGAAAGAAAAAAAGGAAAAAGATGTTCAGTAATAGAAGTTATTGTATCTTAAATAATAATCGCATGAAAAAAGAAAGAAAAAAAAATAAAGCAAGTTTCAAACCTTAAACTAAAAATTCCAAGAGTGTGTTGAACACAAGATTAACGAATAAGGAGAATTTGTCTGGGACAAACACGGAACAAGTAACTTTCAATTGCAGTTGTCAAAAGGTGATTAAATAGGTAAAACACGGGAATTTTTATAGATTTTTTTAGGAAATGATTTACTAATTTCTTGTACAAGTGGTTATTAAATACGTCAAACTAGTCTGAAAACTAGCGTTGCGTGTGAAATCTGTTCGTTTTTTTTTCCTCTGATATAATCGTTTACAATTCAAGACTAGATTCAGATGTGAATCGTGTGATTTCAAATATGATGATATTCTGATAGAGATAGTAATTTAAAAAGTGTTAAAGTGTGGCTTTTTTTTAGGGATTTGAAATTTTAAATTTTACCATTAAAGTCAAAAGAGAAATTTCTTTTTTTAATTCTTCCCAAATGTGATATCAAAAATACCGGTTTGAAAATGGTTCGTTTCGTTCCTTGCTGATTGTCACAAGACTTTTTTTTTCTTTCGGAATTCACAAGATCAAAAAGTGAAAAAAGATTATTTTTTTTTTGTTTATTTGTTTATAATCTATTTTCTCGTTGGGGATAAAAAAAAAATTTAAATATTTTATATTTATTTCGGAAACCAAGAAGAAAAATGATTGTTGGAAAAAAAAAGCTACGCCACAAACAAATTCAAGCAATTTTTTTTTGGGCAGACCCTATCGGACGATGATCTATATATGACAAAAATAAGAAAAAAACCAAAAAAGAAAACAACTAAGTTAAATTAATGCATATCTCCAGCTAAGTGATGGGTTCCTTTTAAATTCAAATACAATTGGTTCAGTTGACTCGGATAACGGTGATATCATCAGAACACCATACAAATCAAATTTCGGCAAATGCGCGATTGCATTTCAAATACTTTAACTTGCATCGCAAAGCATCAAAGCACCGCAATCTTTTCGGAAGATAAAGAGAAATGCCAGGACTGCGGGAAAAAAAGTACATGGGCAAAGCATGTACTGATTACCCTCAAGAAGCCACGCCGTAAACGAGTTTTGCACATGCGTCATTATTAATGAGAGGAATCACAATAGTTTATTTATAGTTTATAAAGGTATAAAAATTGTTTATTGTTATTATTTTTAAAAGATTTGCTTATAACAGGAGTGACCAATAAAATTCCGAATTGGAATTAATGTACGCCAAAGTACAACACAATCTAATGGATTATCTTTTAAAAAGTTCCACGAATAGATCCATAGATTCAATGAAAAATATTGTTTCTTAGTTCAATTGTTTTTTAGACAGTAATGTAATCTTTTGACAAGCAATGTTTAAAATTTTATACGTGGGCAAAAATACGCCTTAACGCACGGTTGTGGTTTAGTGATTTTGTTTGTTACCCTACATCTTGAACCTAAGCTTTGTCGTACAATTAAGAACAATTTATATTTTTAAAAAAATCACTTTTTCCTTGCATCCTCTTAAAAGCAGAATTCATCAGTGACAACAAATTTTGGGGGAAATGTATCATAAACAAAACGGGAAATTTTTGTATTTGTCAAAGGTTTACGGTTCTAGGAAATGGTAAAAGAAAAATTTTTTTCGGAGAGGAATTCTTTTTAAAAAATAAAGAAAATTTACCGCTTTCAGGATTAAAAAAAGAGATCATCCAAAATGCATTGCGTCAATTATAAGCCAACAATTAAAGTTTCCATGGGAATTTCGAAAACCATTTATTCCGTTATTTGCCTGTGCAACCTTTACTTTTTGCATCTTCGCGCATGTATAAGAAAGAAATAGGTATGTTCAAACAGGAGAAACATAAATCAAATCTCCGAGAATGGATTTATCATGACTGAAAATAATAAACAAGTGATTTATCATTGATTTTTAAGGTTTAAAAAATAGAAATTTGTGCATTCTTCCATGCTATTCTATCCTAATTTAGAAAAATCAGGTTAAAGGATGAAATCAATTCTTCGATTCATTAAATCGGAAACTTCTAACCCCTGCGATGATCGATAAATAATTTCACAATGATGACGTCCCGTTAACTCGATAAATCTTTTTTGAAATGTTTTATGAAACAGATCAGCGAATGATTTGAAATCAAATAATTTCTTTTCATACAAAAATTCTCTTCAACATTTTTGGAAACATATACATTGTATAGATATTGTCATCTTTGTAATTAATTAACATTTACTATAGGAATTCCTTTTATAGTAAAAATGGTTCAAAAAAGTTTATAAAATGTTTTCAAAAAGTTCCTGTTTTCTAAAAGTCCAGCAGCAATTTTTTTTTTTTTATGAAAGTTCTAGTAACTAATTTGGTAAAATTAAAAAAGAAAATGCATGATATTCAAGCTTATCTTTGGCCAACTCCAAATGGTAAAGAAAAAGATTTAGTGGATTTTTAAAATGAATTGAATTTAATTGGATTTTCTAAAAACAATTTAACCTCTTTTGTAAAAAAAAAAAAAAAGGCAAAAAAATCTTTGTAGCACTTGAGGAACTTAACGTTCCTTATGACATTCACTTGATCAACATCGGTAAAAATGAACAATTCGCTCCAGAATTTCTAAAAATTTCTCCAAATAATAAAATTCCCGCCATAGTTGATCAAAATCCTCCATCAGAATTTGGTGAAGGTCCTCTCTCTCTCCATATTTGAAAGTGGTGCAATCCTTCAATATTTGGCCGATTATAAAAAAGGTGAAGGTGCTCCAGATTTGTACCCAAAAAATCCTCGTGAGAGGGCTAGAGTCAACGAATGGTTATTTTGGCAAGTTGGTGGGCTTGGCCCGATGATGGGTCAATTAAATCATTTCACTTCTACGAATATCGATTATGCTAAAGAACGGTAAGCGTTGATAAAATGATTGATTAAAGGATTACTTTTTTTAATACTAATAATTTATTGTATATAAAGTTATTCGAAAGAAGTTGATCGATTATTCGGAATCATGAACAAACGCCTTGGAGAATATAAATATCTTGCTGGTGATAACTACACGATTGGTTAGTATATACATTATTTAATCGATTACATTGATATGAATTCTATTAATATATATTTTTTCCATGATGATAAAAAAAAAACTAGCTGATATAGCGTCATACAATTGGGTTATATATAATGATAAAGTAAAGGCCGCGGATACTCCTTTTCCAAACTTAAAGGCATGGTTAGAACGTATTAGTGAGAGACCCGCTGTTAAGAAAGCAATGGAAAAGGCTATTCGTCCAGAATAGCTTTTTCCCAATATTATATTTTCAATTTTAGATTTATTTCATGATGTATTTTTATTTATTTATATTAAAAACATTAAATAAATCAACGAGATCATTCATATCCAATGTATCCAATGTGTATCAAAGTTAATAACTGGAGTGAATTTCAATCAAAATGTTAAACGTGGTCTGAACTAGGAGAATTTGCAAGCGAAATATCCTAACCAAGGTTATTATTAAAGAACATTATAAGTCCCCTATTTGTAGACTTGATCGTCTTTTCTATTTCAAATATCTATAGCAATTCTATATCCAAGGTTGTACACACTGCATTGCATTGCAACCCAACGCAATTACAACATATTGTGAAATTACCTATTAATAACGTTAGAATTATTTTATCTTTTTTCAATCTTTTTCCAAAATATTTGGAAAATCCTGTAACACCCTACTTTTATCCAGAAAATGAAATTGCTGATTTTGGGTATATTGTTTTTCGTTCAGGTAGACCAATAAAACTGGCAATGTTCTAGCAGCTTTTAAGATAATCTAATCTCGATTCCATTAGTTAAAAGGGTTTAAATTGTGATGAATAATACCTTTTAATTTGCTACAGTATATTTTTGTAACATGGTATAAATATCATTTAAAGCGCACAAACGATATATCTAACATATATATGGAAATTTATTTAAAAAAAATGGATACTTGGAACTTCGCACTATCATTTAAAAGAACAATGACAAATTTCTTATAAAAAAATAATCAAAATTTATGCTTTAATATGTGATGTTTCTGCGAATTTTCTTTTATAAATTTAATTAAAAATTATTATTGTAATGTTCTATTAAATAGCATTTTATGGACTCTCTTCTTTTAAATGAAATTATAAAGAATTATCAGTAAATAATTATTCTTTTATAAATTATTACAGAAGCTGTAATTTTGTAAAAAGATAATAAAATAGATGTATTAATTATAATAAATGCAATAAAATCAAATTTTTAAAAAATCTTAGAAACTAGCATTTTTTCATATTTAAATATCTTATAACTTTCTATTTGTTATAATAACTACTTTATTTAAAGATCTATAGTAAGAGTTTATTTGAAAAATTTCTTATTTGATATTTATTAATAATAAATTTTAGCTAATATAATTTTATTAAAAAAAAATAGTTTATGGTTATTGATTTTATTTTTTTAAAAAAAGAATGCAATAATTTTATTAAAATAAAAATTAAATATAATTCAAGAAATATAAAATTTTTATATAAACTATTATTTATATTAAGGTTGATTTTTCATTTTTTTAAAATCAAAATTAACTTAGAATCAAAATTTATTACTATTTTAATATCAAAAATCTTAGCTATTATTATATTAAAATAAAATTAATTGAATTTTATGTAAACTATTTTATTTAAAAAAAATAAAATTAGAGATTAATCAAATTTGAAATTTAATAAAATTATTTATAAAAATTTATATTTATTTAAGTAAAATCTAAAAAATCTTATTATTAAATAATTAAAATTAAAAAAATATAAATAAATTTATTCAAATATTAGAATAAATAATAATAATATATTAATAATCTGAAATGTAGTATTAAACTTATATTTTTAGAATTTAATATAAAGGTTTAATTGTAATTTTTTCAATTATCATATAATATCAATTCTGATTAAATGTTTAAATAGATTAATAGTCTTATATATTCTAGATTAGAAAATTTAATCTCAAATTACATGATATAAAATAATTTTATTATAATATATAAAATTAAAATTAATTAATTTTAAATATATAAATAGTTAAAATAGTTAAAATTATTTGATTATTTTTTTTTTGTCAATATAAATCATATTAATTTATATTAAAAATTACAAATAAAAATCAAATTATAAATTTATTAATATCTTGTAATAACTTTTATATTATTATAATTAGCTTATACAAAAATCATATTTAAAGTTTACTAGAAAAATTAATTTAAGATTATATTAGATAACCTTAGAATCTTTTTTTTTAGCAAACTTTTTATATAATATACATATATTATATTACTTATTATCAATAATATAATACTTTTTTTTCAAAAAATTATAATTATTAATATTTATCAAAAACTTATTTTAATATATAAATTAGAATTTTTAAAACTTTTAAAATGATTTTTGAAATATAAATAAATTTTATTAAGTTTTTTTTTATGTAAAGAAATTTATTAATTTATTATAAATAAATAGTTTAATCTCAAATATATTAAAATTCAAAATTACCTAAGTAAATGTCTTTAATATAATCTCTTTTTACTATAACAGGAATCATTAAGTAAAATATCACATATAATATAATTATATCATATATAGTATTCCACTTATTTTAGATTATAGTATCATATGTGATCTGAATAATACATATGATCTAAATAATACATATGATCTGAATAACACATGTGATCTAATAATACATTGTCATCAGGAATAAGTCTCTTTGTTATTGCACGTATTTTACTAAGTTACTTTACTGTAGCAAGTAAAATTCCTTATCATCAGATTTTACAACCTTAGGAAATCTCATGTCTTACAGGTACAGTGAACTCTTGATATAACGAATTCTAGGATCTGAATATTAACTTCATTATAAGCTTATAACAAATTTTTTAAAGAATTTAATTGGTTAGTTCACTATAGTAAGGTAATTTTAATATATTTGATTTAAAAAT